GACCTAAACTTTAGGCGGTCACACTGGTAAGGCCCTTTAAGGTGGAAATCCATTTTAAGGGGCCTTTTTTGGGAATTTTTTTTAAGAAAAGTATTCTGTATGGGAAAAGCGTGTAAAAGCAGGAGGAATCAGGGGCGCCCGGTAGGACACGACTCCGAAGTCGGTCGCGACACCGAACCGACCATTGCAACATAATAGGAATCTTTCTTTAAGAAGGATTCCCACTATTCGCGTATTGCAAATCAATGAACTTTTGACATGAAATCTTCTTACATCACTTCGTTAGGAAAATGATGCAATTAGTAAATAACTAATTTCATAAAATCTCACTCACCTCGAAGATCGCATCTTGCAACAAAAGTTCAACAAAATTCCTCATGAACTTTTCATGGATCTCCCTAACCGGTAGAGATTTGTAATAAGAATCTTCCTTGACGTCTTCTTTAGTAATCGGACCTGTGCAACGCTTTTGGCAGTCGTCTTCGTCCTCGGATGAAGACACCCGACCGTTGCTGGGTGAACCATTGGCCAGGAACTCGTCTGGGTCTGGGGATACGGTCAAAGTTTCCTGGTTGGCCGGCATGGTTCGAGGTTCTGCACGATCTGTTCCCTCGGTGCTCGTACAAGTTTCCTTTATACCTAATCTCCGCGGACCAAGGACAGAAGCCGTGTCCGCTCCGCATGATCGAGATTCGCGCGACTGGCTGCCTCTTTTTTCTCTTCTCCCTTTTGTCACGGGATATCCCCAGCCCGGGAGCTTTCCTCAACAAGGAAACCACGCCACCCCGACGGACACTTATGTACGAATAATAAAAGGGAATGGTTTCCTTTGAAAGAGAGTAGGAAAGTCCGCAATGAGTGATTAATCACAAATGACTAATTCAAAGAACTCAATACTTGAACTCGATACATTTCCCTGATATCTGGTAAATCTCGTGGTGATTCCGTGTCACGATTATGTATACGTGCATCTTTATTACATAATATTTTATTGCGTTTGAAGTGTGAGGCTGTTAATGAATCCTTGAACGCTCGGTGTCCCACAATTGAACGACGTTCAACCTTTCGTAGAAACTTTAGAGACAGTGAGAGAGATTCACGAGGAAAACTAGTCGACGTCGACACTAATTTTCCACGAATTTTTCTCTCCAATCGTTCGTTTGTTTTATCATTTTTAAGTGACGTTTACTCTTTTCGATGATTTATCATGTATCTTCGTCGGTATTTGTGACGTCTGGGGTACGTCCAGGCAGATCACGCGGTGATCGTGTCAAGACCGAATTTTATGCATTTGTA